TATAAAACTCTACTATAGCAATGATTCTAAAACTTTTCTAACACACATCCAAAATGGGGAGGAACCCCCATAACCACAAAACCTGTCAAATAAAACACTTCCAAAAGGGATCCACAATACCCCTTCAATTCCATCTCAAACTACCTTTCCAACCCAACAACTCATTTCTCATATTTGCAAGATATAAACAATCACAAGGCATAGGAATCTCTATTTAACCTCCATACATGGCATATCACATGTATATCACATACATACATCATTTCTAACAAAACCCTAATCAAGAAAAATTCTTAAATCTCAACTTGGGTTGGGATTTACTTACCTTGTTATGGAGGGACTTCACCAACTTCTTTCACTTGTTTGCTTGACTTTTCCCTACTCTTAACCAAAAGAACAAAACCCTCAAACTTCAATATAAACTAAAACTCACAAATTTCACAACTTAAGTAAGAATCCTTACCTTAGGAAGTCTTAGTTATTTTCTACCTCAAATCACTCCAAAACCCCTTGGAATTCCTTGATCAAAAGAAAGAGAAGTTGGGAGGAGCAAGAATGGAGAGTTGCTGTTTTGAGAAGAAGAATGAGAGGTTTGCTACCTCTAATTCCTTTTAATGAAATTTATACCCAAGCATTCCCATTTTGCCCTTACTCTTCTTTGGAATTCCATCTATATCCTTTGATTCATTACAAACTCACCCCCATATCAACATATTCTCCGAAAAATCCTTACATTTACTCCCCACTTTTCCTGCTAATTAGGGGTAGAAAGGTCAAATTGCCCTTAGGGAAGAAAATATCTAAAACTTAACAAACATTTTAATCGGCCTTGTCGCTGAGGCGAAGAAACTTCTGTCGCCGCCGAACTGTCCAGAGAGTTTCCCCGTGGTTTCAACCCATCTTCGCCGCGGCGAAGCTTGGCACACTGAACTTCTTCTATTTCAACCAATTTCAGGGCAAGCATTCAACACAACACTCAATCAAACAATATTACCAAAACCAACTCAAATGAGAGCGAAAGAAAAACAATAACTACGTACCTCAGCTGGGCGTTACATATTGCACAAGCAGTGGGAGTTTTAAGTCGCTTTATGTCAAATCCTGGAAGGACATTGGATTGCTGTAAAGAGGGTTCTTATATCTACGTGGGACCTCGGATTTACATTATGTTATGGAGCATGGCTACTAGGGATGAGTAGATGTGATAGGTTTTGTGGATGCTGATTGGGGAGGTGATCTCGATAGTAGGCGTTCCACAAGTGGGTATGTATTCTCTTATTTGGTGCTGCTGTTTGTTGGATGAGTACAAGGCAAAGTACTATGGTTTTGTCATCGACTGAGGCAGAATACTGCATTGACACATGCTAGCAAGGAGCTATGTGCTTCGAAGATTGATTTAGAGCTTGGTTTCAAGCTTGATGCTGTGAAGATTGGGTGTGACAATCAAGGGGCTATTTACTTAGCCAGAATCCTGCCCTTCATTCGCGATCAAAACCATTGACATACAATACCATTTCATCAGGCAAAAGGTGGAGGAAAAATTAGTGTTGTTAGAGAAGGTTGATACACTTGTTAATGCTGCAGATTTTCTTACCAAGGCTGTGAGCTTAGCAAAGTTTACATGGTGTGTTGATGAGGTAGGCCTTCATTGTGTGAATTATTCGCCAAGTGGGAGAATGTTGGAGTTGTCGACTACTTCAGCATTAATGGGTAAGACAGACGCACTAGAGGGTCCCGTTGCCCGGTGAGTGGGCGGGGGTCACGGGGGCAGCGCCCCCGAGCCTGTAGGTGGTTTTGGACTTTTCCATGTATAACCGCTATAGGATTTCTTTTAAGTTACTAATTCCTTATTGGATTGGGCTTAGGAATAGGAATCCTTATAAAACTAGGTTTAGTGTCTTAAACCTAGTATATAAACATATTTTTCTCTTGTTATGGGTGTGATAGCAAATCATAGGGCAATTTATTCATTGTAAACGAGAGAGGTGAGGCATATTGCAATAATATTGACTGAGCTGGACGTGGCCCACATTGGGTGAACCAGGGTAAATCGTGCGTGTTATTTTCTTTGTTTACTGTTTGATTTGTTTTACTATTATATTTTGTTCCTGTTGTTGTCTCTATTTCGTTCAAACTTGTTAATTCTTTCACCAGGGAAAGAATCTCTTTATCTGTCTACAACATATATATTATCCTTAATTCCTTCCGGTTCAACTTCAGTAGGGTTCCAATATTAAAATTCACACTGATACCCGGTCACCTAAAAAAAAGAAATTAATATCTTCCACTGTTGGCCTTGAATTGGTCTGGGCTTTATAGATCTGCAAAATTTTGCTGAAGATTCAGTTTAATTTTGCTGAATTTTTTATTAGGTGGAGATGTATTATTATTAATTTGGTGTTTATTGATTAACTTAGAAGTAAGATGAATATGGAATATTGTTTAAAAATATATTATTTTGATAATTATTAATAAGGGTAAAAGGGACATTTAAAACGATCAAAAGCTAAATTCAATGGACAGATAAGAACAAAGCGTGGAACATTAATGGGTTTTCAAACTAAGGGTATCAGTTGTTATTTCATTAAACCTAGGATGGGTACATGTAACTTGACATTTCATATCATCAATTACGACGGCTTGAACTCCTTAAAATATGTTCTCACAGAACAAGATACAATCACACTTTTTTTTTTTTCTTTTTATAAAAGGACTTTGAATAAGTTTTACCTCATAAATTTTCCTTTTCGTTACGTACTTTCGTTTATTATTATTATTATTATTTTTCGGGGGGTTTAGTATTATTTCCCGGAGTGATAGGTAAGTCTTACGCATTCAACGATTTCAAGAAAGTATTTGAAATATATCAGAAACCCCTTAAAAAATATCACAAAACCCTTTATAATATATTAAAGCACTCTAAAATAATAAATAACTCTCTAAAAATGTCAATAATCCCTTTGAACATGGGTGTTTTTAATAGTTTTCTAAAATCACCTGCTACTGGACATGCCTAGAAACAGGAAGCGAAACAAACTACTCTCTAAAAGGAGTGCAACAACAAAAGTCCTGTAACTGGACATACGCAAGAGTCTGGGGCTATAGATTTGATTATCCCTTAGGGACGTATAAAATAAACCTTTTTTTTTTTTTTTTTTTTTTTTTTTTTTTTTTTTTTTCTTATCCTTCCTTTTTCTTCCCTCAGTATTTGACATTATTTACCTTTTTATTTGTGCTCAGTTGGCCCTGCTTCAGATAGGATCAGCTTCAGTGAATGGGCCACACATCTTTATATGTGATGTTTTGTTCAATGATGTTCCTGCAATAATATTATTTAATTAATTAATAAATATTAAGACCAACTGTTACCATAAACAGAGGCCAGAGTGGAAAGAAGTTTGAAGTTAACGGAGTGAATTAACAGTTTTAATTCCTCAAATGAGAATACCTATGCGTTTGCTTTGATCATATTAAAAGACCGAGTTTAGAACATAGGACATGTGGTGTTAAATTTTTTCAACTTCTCCAAAACTTGGGCCAAAAACATATGGCACACATGCCAATACAGACCAGGGACTTGAGATATTTACCAAGAGATTAAAATATTGCAAAACAGTCAACATTGCAGCATGTCAAGTTCTAGCAAACTACGAATCCAACATAACAAAAACAGAAAATAGCCGAGTTCAAACGTCATAAGCCTACATGAAAGTACCAACTGGCCTCCATGGCCTCTGCTACTTTTGCGTTCAATGCCTCCGGTGACTCATCTCCAGCAAGAAGCATACGCACTTTGTTTTTGACCTCAATCCAACTACAGTCGGGGCTCTTCCTCAAACCCGTAGCTTTCATCATATCTGTCACTGCATTAACCTCAGTCCACATGCCTTTGGAAGCATATATAATGGACAGAAGGATGTAGTTCCCAAAATTTGTAGGTTCCAGTTCAAAGAGATATTTAGCAGCAGCCTCACCTATACTTATACTGCCGTGAACTCTAAAAGAACTAAGCCAAACTCCCCAAACACAAGCGTTTGGCTCGAAAGGCATTAGCGCAATCATTTTATATGCCTCTTCTAGCCTTCCAACATGGCCTAGAGGGGTCACGATACAAGCATATTGCTCCATCCTTGCTTTAATACCATGCTCTTTACACTTGCTATCAAAAAATTTGCAGCCTTATCAGTTAGACGCAAGTAAATTATTTGATAATTTTCAGGCATATGAGCTGTGGATTAATGGTAAAGCCATGGAATTTATGGATGAATCACTAGATAATTCATTTTCGTCATATAAATTAATTAGATGCTTGCATATAGCTCTCTTATGTGTCCAATAAAACCCAATTGATAGGTTATCCATGTTGGAAATTTTTACTATACTCAAAATTGAAACCATAGATATGATAATTCCAAAGAAGCCTATTTTCTAGAAACGCAATAAACGGAAAAATGAATATGATATGTTTGATTTTTTGTATTTATTATTTTAATAATTTTCTGACACATCACTTTGTATAGAAATAATTATAAGATTTGTTTGTACTAATATTATTAACAAATACAATATTTAACAAGAAATTATATGTAAAGTTCGGGACTAATTAGAACCCAGAACGTTAAGGATGAAAAATAACTTAATATATCTCTTCCCATGTGGCAGAAGATGATGGGTTCATATATTTGAACTCATCCTACAAGGATAGTCCATACAACACCAGATTACTCATATAAAACCAACGTTCAACCTTCGCGTTCATTAAATTTTTAGATCCACCATAAACTGCCGTCGGACTTCTCATCACGCCGTTGCGCCATTGACAAGGACGCGGTTGGTATGTATTTTTCTATTATTTATTTTTCATTTTTTTATTTTGAATTTTGTTGATATTTGTATATGCATAGAAATTTCACTCAATTTTGCTTATTGAACGTAGGATAGGCTTTGATCTTGTTGACTTTTTGTTTGTTACAGATTTTGGTGATGTTAATGTAATTTTAATGGCAATTCGATTGGTTTCAAATCTGCAAAACGTATGGCCATTTTCATTATTAAAATCTGATCAGTTGAGAGCTTCTGATAAGTTAGTTCGCAGGCTTTGCATAACGGAACACACGAAAACGTTTGTTTTCACGATTAGAGAACCTGAATCAAAATCTGTGATGCATATATTTTGTGCCCACAATTTATCGGAGAAATCGGCTTCAGATGTCGAGTGTCTTATCAGGGAAGTGCGACCTGATGATGTTGTAGCTCAAGTGGGTGTTCAGAATAAAGTTCAGTGTGAGGAGATTGAATTAGGAGATAAAGGTGATGACTCGATTCCTACTTCTTTGTTTGGAGTGATTAAACGATGTTTTGTTGATAGTATTGGTAGGACAGTGTATGAGAATGCGGCTGGGAACTTGGTTTTGAGGGAGATTTTTGGGATTGGTTTTATTGGTCCTCTTTGGCTGCCAAAGGGGCAGCCAAGGAGGTTGGTTGATTGTTTATAGTGCTTGAATCATATATGGTTCGTGACACTGTTTGTGGATAAATCTTCTGGGGACGTTAATTCAGGGGATAAAGGTCAATGTTTGGTTCCACAGAAAGTGGGCTTAGTTGTCTCATCGATTTCAAGAAGGTTTTATCTCACTAATGATGTTGAGTCACAGATGGTGAGATTGTTATCTTCAGATATGGATTTGTTTGGGTTGAGATTGAGGCCTCCAAATTATAATTTGGATTCGTCAAAGGAATTTCAGTTGAGATGCGGTCATTTGATTCTGTCATTTGCACAGTCCATTTATCCATTACTCTTGGATTTGCATAACGTATTTGCTGATCATACATCAATGTCAAGAGCTCTTGCCCTTGCACAAAAGATGCTTTTTGATGTGAACATAGCGGAAGTTGTGGATACTGAAGTTATTTATTAAGTTTACGCCTTTCAAATTGCAGTTGAGGGTTTGAGAATCGCTCTTAACAATCCCTGTTTGCTACCTATCAATAAATTAGGGATTCTAACTCATCCAATATTGATTTTTCTGAGCTTCCACTTGAGGATAAATTGCAAGCATTCCTTGCACAGTCTTTTCAAAGTCAAGCTAAGAAATTCAAGACTATGGTAGCAGTAGTAGATGCTAGTTACTTAGCTGGGCTTTGGAAACATTGGAGTACTTCTATTCCTGATAAGGTCAAACATTTGATTGGAGAGTCTGATACAAGCTATGAAGATGATGGGGAAACTTCAAATCACTTGGATAAGAAACGTTTATTTTCTAATAAACCTGTAGTGGCTGTGGGTGCTGTAGCAACTGCTGTTTTAGGAGCTTCATCTCTCACTAAACTTCTTCCCGCATCAACCTTCATGAAGGTTGTGACATTTAAATTCTCTGTTTTGCTTAAGCTTTTTCTGACCCAAGCCCAGAAAGCTATGGCAATAGCTTTAGGCAACACCAAAGTTTTCGCCCCAGGACTAGCAACTTCTGGATCAAATACTTCTGTCTTAAATACAGTAACTTCTGCTGAGAAAAGGCAGTAAGTTCTAATAATCATAGAGTTTTTTCGGTGCACCAATGAGTACAAATTTTTTAGACTATATATATTATCAGTCTTGAGATGGATGCGATTCTTAATCCTTACTTCCTTATCTTTTATTACTTACTTAATTAGTCAATAATAATGTTTATTTGAGAAGAAGTGATATAAACTACTTTTGATATTCCTTATCATTGAAAATCCTATCTAGATTCATTTCTTCAAAGAAAATGCCTTAAATTATGGCCGCCTGCCTTACCATTACTAATTAATAATTTAGTTGTTTACAAGTTCATTGATGTTGTAGTTGTTATAGTTTGTTTTTTCACTGAAATCAATATAAATAGCACTGTAATTTGATCACTAAAAGGTATTCTTTTCTCCAGCCTCTGTAATGGCTGGTTCTGTTGCTGGCGCCTGCCTTACCATTACTAGTTAATAATTTAGTTGTTTACCGTTCTATTGCTTCGACAGGGAAGCTTCGTGAATTTGATCCTGGTCTAAAATTGTTATGCAACGGAAACATAAACTCTAACGCTGGTTATTGAATATAATAATAACAAGTAGTAAAACATAAATAAATAGCTAAAATTAAATGCAAAAATAAAGAATATCAGGAATTAACGAGGTTCGGTATTGAAACCTACGTCCTCGGGCGCTGCAAAAGAAAACTCCACTATCTCCAAACAATATTACAAACTTTTGGGCAATACAACAAATACCCAAAACAAAGGGGAGATACAACAAAACTTACAAACTAAAGGGTCCTTAAAGAAAGAACCCTAAACAAAAGAAGTATAATGGAATTACATCTTGGGATACAAATAATATTGATTTAGGTCCTTATATATAGGCCCCAAAAGTTTCTCACTTTTCATTCCTTTTCAATGTGGGACAAACTAACTTATTTTGGCCTATTACTATAAGTCCCTAAACCTTTCTCCATTATCACTTCTACCCCATGTGATTTTGCTAAAAGCCATTTTTCAACAAATCTCCACCTTGGCGAATTAGCAAATCTTCAAAGTTTTGTATTCTTCTGCCAAATTTTGCAACACCTTCAAAAGCACCAAAAGACACAGTCAAGCTCGCAGGATGTTGATCAAGTTCAAACAATAAATGAACTTGACCCTTGTCACTACTGAAGTCAACATGTCTGTAGGATTATCTTCTGTGCCAATCTTCTGGAAAATCATTTTCCCATTTTCAATATAATCCTACACATAAAACTAAACCAATATCTATAGTACATAAAATATACTGTAGAAACCATTTCACAACTTGCAAATGTCCTTTACCAGGATCATACATATGCCTGCTCACCATACTAACTGCTTGTGAAATATCAGGCCTTGTGTACCCATGGCCCATCATACATTGATCAAATCGCTTGTACCACTGTCTTGGTGACTGCTTCAAACTATATAGCGATTTCTTCAATCTGCAAACCCAAGTTTTCTTTCCAGCAACCCTATAATCATCTGGCTGAGTCTTGTAGATTTCCTCTTCCAAACTACCATGTGAAAACACGATTTGCACATCCAATTGAACTAGTTCAAAATCAAACTGTGCCACCAAGGTTAGCAAAATTAGAATGGAAGAATACTTTACCATAGGAGAAAACACTTCACTGTAATCAAATCCTTCCATTTGAGCGTATCCCTTTACTACCAACCTAACCTTGTGCCGAACATCTTCTCTATTAGGAAATCTCTTCTTCTTTGCATACACCCATTTGCACCCAATCGCCTTCTTATGTAGGGATCGCATTTCATCATTCATGGCCGGTTTCCATGATTCACAATTTGAACTCCTAACTACTTCTTTATAAGTAGTAGGAATATCATCACCTACGATTGGAAGTGCATAAGCCACCATATTAGCGAAACGAGCAGGCTTGCGAATTTCTCGTCTTGGCCTATTGTATGCAATCGATTCCTGTTGCTGAGGAGATTCTTGGGGTAAAATCTCCTTTTCATCAATAGTATCCACATTAGTCACCTTAGAATCACTTTCTGTCTTGTGGACACTATCTGGTTCAACTGTTGTTTCAAACTCCACCTGCTGCCGAGTATGCTCCACACACATATGCCACCGTTTGAGCATTTCTGAATCTGCATCCTCCTGTACGACTGCAGCTGTCGTTCCAATAACTGTACTACCATTATAGTAATACAAGTTGTTTCTCCTTGTGCCTTTCATTACCACAAGAGCGCCTGAAGAAACTTTTAGAATTCCATCTCGCATATTCACCGTGAAGCCTTTAGATTCCAAGGCTCCCAAAGAGATGAGATTCTTTTTCAACTTCGGTACATACCGAACATCTGTCAGAGTTCTAGTTGAGCCATCATGATTCTTCAACCGAATTGAACCTATCCCAGTTGTTTTACAAGCATCATCATTGCCCATATAAACAACTCCACCATCAAGTTCTTCAAAATTAAAGAACCACTCCTTGTGGGGACACATATGATAGGTACAACCTGAATCCATAATCCACTCATTTGATCCAGAGGTGGATGGTAGGCTAACTAGACAGAAATCTGACTCATCCTCTTCACGCTCAACAACGCATGCATCAGAAGCAGCTTTGCCCTCTTTCTTTTGCAACTTCGGACAATCTTTCTTCCAATGCCCTTTCTCACGACAAAAGGCACATTGATCCCTATTGAGTTTTCCCTTCGAACGAGATCTTCCTCTTCTCTCATTCTTACGACTCTGATTTTGACTCCGCCCTCTTGCTACAAGAGCTTCTGCTGACTCATCTCTATTCTCCTTCTGATCCTTCTTCCGAATTTCATGATTGGACAGAGCAGAACAAACTTCTTCAAAGGACAATTTTTCTTTCCCATGAAGAAGTGTAATACTAAGATAGTCCAACTCATCTGGAAGAGATCCAATTAACAACATAGCCTTATGCTCATCTTTGAATGTTTCATCCAAATTTAACAAATCAGCAATTAATCTGTTAAATGTATCAATATGGCTACTGATATTCGTACCTGGTCTCAACTGAAGACGAAACAGTCTTTTCATCAAATAGAGCCGATTCTCATTACTTCTCTTCATGTATTTGTTTTCCAGCGCCTTCCATAACTTATTGGCAGACGTCTCTTTCATGAATGGATATTTCTGCTCTCTACAAAGACATGAGCGAATCATCCCACACGCTTTTACATTCAACCTCACCCAGTCTTTCTCATAGACATCTTCTGGTTTTTCCTCCTCCAGAACGATATCTAGATCCTGCTGATACAAGCTATCCATTACCTCACTCTGCCACAAGCCAAAATTATTTTGGCCATCAAATTTTTCAACATCAATTTTTGCATTTGAAACCGTTATCATCTTTACTGGTGCGGATGGTGGTGCCGCAGACGGTGATGCCTCGGACGATGAATCCTCGGACAATGATGCCATTTATGCCTTACTCAATTAGCTTGGTAAACAAAGTTCCCAATAACCAAGCTCCACAAATTATTATATTCAATAGCTAACCAACAAATCAACAATAGCCCTAGGTAGTAGTAAGTGCTGAAATGATTAAATACGCACCAGGAAAATTCCCAGGAAACAATGGAGGGGTCACAAATGGTCCCACTTAAAATCCAGTCTCCTTAGACTTTTATCGTCTTTTTGACAGAATTTTCCTAGACATGCATATAACCATACAAATAGCTACTCACTGTCCTAAACCTAGGCTCTGATACCAATTGTTATGCAACGGAAACATAAACTCTAACGCTAGCTTATTGAATATAATAATACAAGTAATAAAGCATAAATAAATTGCCAAAATTAAATGCAAAAATAAAGAATACCAGGAATTAACGAGGTTCGGTATTAAAACCTACGTCCTCGGGCGCTGCAAAAGAAAACTCCACTATCTCCAAACAATATTACAAATATTTGGGCAATACAACAAATACCCAAAACAAAGGGGAGATACAACAAAACTTACAAACTAAAGGGTCCTTAAAGAAAGAACCCTAAACAAAAGAAGTATAATGGAATTACATCTTGATATACAAATAATATTGATTTAGGTCCTTATATATAGGCCCCAAAAGTTTCCTACTTTTTATTCCTTTTCAATGTGGGACAAACTAACTCATTTTGGCCTATTACATATAAGTCTCTAAACCTTTCTCCATTATCACTTCTAACCCATGTAATTTTGCTAAAAGCCATTTTTCAACAAAAATCAACAGCTGCAGTCAATATAAGCTGTGCCTGGCTAGATTTTCCTGCCTCTAACTCGATAGCAGCCCGCCACTTTAAAGAGAAGCTCCAAGTTAGACATATCAGAGGTTGAGTTTGCGGAAAACCAAGGAAGGTCCAGGCCCGGGAATCCATAAAGCCTGGCTGTTTTTATTGATAATGAAAATTGTTTGAACTT